CCAGTTCATACCACAGCCATTTAAATGGAAAGGCCTGTTTAGCAGTAAAAGTATCGAATAACTTGTTTAGCTAAACCACGGAGACACATGAGGACCCATACTAATTGTATTAAGGTAGAAACACGCCGTCCACCGAAATGGGCACAAATGCAGTGCAACCGTAGAACAAGGACCATGATGCCAACCGCCAAGCTTTTACTGTACACCGAAATAGAGTCGATCTCTCTTCTGCAAGGCAATCGGAGAAGAATTGATGTGAGAAAGGAGTGTTGTGGTCACATACCCGGTCGCATTCTACCTCAACCTTTGGAGACCCAGTTACATTCCGAATACTCCACAAGTAATTGGTAGATTTCCCTCAACCCGTAGCTTAAAAAGCGCCCGTATTGCATCGATTTGTTCCGAAACCACTGAAGTATCAGAACCTAACCCCTGCAACGACATAGTGTACCACGAAATTTCATGCAACAAGTTTGCTTTGGCCCAGATTCTAAAACTGACCAGCGGGAAATCTTCGATTAGTACCATAAGTGTGAACTCCATGAAAAGGTTAAAAGGAAAATGGCGTGGCGTTTAGTTAGCTGTGGCGGCACAAGCACTCTGTTAACAAGTCGCTATTCGACAATAAAAAACCCCCATTTAACTTTGTCACCTGCAACTGTTACTAACTTAGTCTCACTACGCAAGAAGATTGGAATGACCAATTAATGCCTTGAGAGTGGACCAATCGAGACGGAAATCACGTTCCTATGTTAGATGGATAGATTTTTGCTCTAATTCATTCTAGTTCGACTTTTTACTCACAACATGGAGCCTCTTAATCACCTTACACATCCTCACTTGCGTCTCGCGGTATAGTTTGAGGTATACATCGCAACGGCGTTTACACCAATTAAATTTACAGGAAAACGTGTAAATATTTGAGTAAATAGCTGAACACTTCGACTAATGTGAGCTTAAATCTGGTTTAGGTGCCATTCGGTTTCCTAAGCGTTACGTGATAAACAGCGGTGTCCAACTAAGCTCCAGTGAGTTGCGTTATAGCTGCCTACCATCTGTCATCATTACAACCTCCGGTGTCCAAAGGGATCCATTAAAGCCGAAGTGTATGCGCAATCTGCCTGTAATACAAACAGCGTACACCAGTGTTTACACTGCATTGCGGTGTAATTGGCGTCCATTCTAATAACTCGGGGTTTCTGTGTCAAACTCCATTCGTGATACCCCGGCCTCCTAGAATAACATTTAGTGCCTATGTGAGTGAACATACATGGTTATGGTCAAACTCCTTGAAACATAAACATTGACGGTAGTTCCGAAATGTGAATTCAAAGACTTCTGTTTTCATTTGGCTCCGCGTGTTTCTCACAGCACACAGCAAATGGGTTACCCAAACAGGATACGCGTGATGGGGTCATGCTAATTAACACGGTGCCACGGGTCATAGATTTATCAAGGAGGTGGTGCATTGGGGTTCATTGTCATGTTGGGAAGAGATCACAGAACGAACTCCCATGGATACTCGGCCCGCCGCATAACACTCGATTCCGTGGAGAAGCCGTGAAGAAATCGCTACATTTGCTTACTATGCATCCGTGTGTTTGGCGTTAAATCTCTGCTCGGCCTAGAGAGATTCCGTATTCATTCAGCAAAATGCAGAAAAGAATCCAAGCCGACTGTTCGATTTGATAACCACAAAAGTTGGTAAACAAGCTGAAGGACGAGCAAGGGTAGCTTAGTTCGACACGTTCAGTTGTCAAGTAGATTCGACGGCCTATCAAATCATGCAGTGACCGTTGAGAAGACACAAGTCGAGCAGACCAATGTTGAATGCCGCTCACTCCAAACCCCTCGCCTCGGCACCGGCCTAGGTCTTGATCCGACTATAGGAATCAAGCGACGACAGAGAACCATGGTCGATAGTGGGGTCGCACGGGAACGACTCAGTTACCATGTGGTTGTACGTATTGAGGCAATAACTGGAGTGGCAACAGAAGGCAGATGCGATTTGTACCCAGATTATTTTAAGTAAAGGCTGACATTCTATCCGTGCATTGCAAATTGTGGAGCAAGGCACAACGACTCAGGAAACTGTAAGCCGTTATGCCCTCCCTAGATGGAAGGAAGTCGCTTGGATCAATCTCTCCCACGATCGTCGGCTTTAGAAGGCTAAAGTCCGTGATATGTCTCCTAGCAAATATCATGATGCAGAGAAGGAGGACTATCAAGACTGCGTTGGTGGTCGCACACCCTAATCAACTGGCTGGTCTATGTGTTATCCTTGGAATCCAAATCAGCAAAATTTTCATCCACGTGGGAACGGACGAGTTTGAGAGCATACATCTGTTCACCACCGACCGCTTTGGGTCATAACAGTATTTGTACTGGACATCAATAATAACAATTACTACAACCACAACAACAACAATGATAATAATAATAATAATAACAAAGTATCAGCTGTACGCCGTAACTGCGCTCCGTTGCCGCGCGACCACCACCAGTCGCGCGTGGGCTGGGTATACCAAAAGACGCCGGCCCCCACGCGTGTTCTAACCGGCAGCCTTATGATTGCAAGCCAGGCGTGCAGACCACTCGGTCACCAGCCGACAACGAGAGGTAAATGGATCTTTTCTGGTCTCATTGGTCGGCAGCGTGTCGCAATCCACTCACAGAGCGGGATTTCTAACGCACAAGCCAAAATCTAATGTGTTTTCAGTATATTGCCTCGTTATCTTCTATCTCCGATGTTTTCGTGACAAGAACCAACCGGTGGCGGTCGTTCAAACTCTCACTCACATACACCATTTTTGGAGAGCATAAGGAAACACCTGACCACACACGGCCGACATTTGGGGCTTCAACCATTTCACCGTAATGCGGTCCACCGTGCATTCAAGGCGGATGGTGCGGCTGACAAGTCACTCAGACCTAAGGAATCTTATACAAACCATTCCCTCTGAATCATAACGCAGTACAATGTATAAAATTCCGAAAACCCGCGCATCCTGTTTGATTTCCAGCACACCGAGAGAGAGTAATTAACGGCTCACCTGCAGCACAATCCCCGCTGTATGCACAACATAAGTAGCTGTGACGTAAGCAGGCACCATCACCACCCACTGCAACCGACGGACGACGCAACGATGTCGTCCACTCAAACAGTTCTGTGTGTATTCCTAAGTGGGTGGTCATCGCATGGACCGACGAACACACGCCGGCGCATCGTGCGTTGCATAGCTATACCCGCCTCTCTTGTGTGACATCCGCGCAGACACGGCAAATACGCTTTTTCACCAATAATTGTAGGCGTTTGCGTATCGTGTGACAGACCTCTATCATCTATGCGTGAGACACATCGGTGGCGACTCAGTTGTCCAATAACAGCTGTCCGGTGGGCCAAACATGGTGCTGTGCAGTTATCCCGTTTCTGTGCATCCTACTATTTTTATTCGTCCGTCTAGGCAGCTCCATCTATCAGCAGTCAAGTGTTTGTTGTACAAGCCGCAACGCAATACCCATACAGTCACATATCGGCGCTTCGTGAGTGAAACAGAGACGCTGATGTACATCCAATTCCTCGCTCGACCGAGTAACAGTGGCAGTGGTATTGGTAATCGGAGTAGCACTTCAAGCATTGGTGAGGGTAATTTCATAGAACCATCCTTTGTTAAAAGCAACGAACACTTATTTCGCGTGTCAGTTCGATGCTACGGGTGAGTATGGTGATCATAGAAATATACGCGTCAACATTCTAAGGAGGGTGCCAACGAACTCTTCCTGTCACGCACGTTAACTCCAAAAACATACGAAATATTTGTAGTCTTTCAACGATAAAGCAACGTCCCCACCAGTCCCCCTGTTACTGCCCGACGATGGTTGGTGGCGAGGTCCGTTTATTCGGTCCATCCAACCAGTGTTTTCCAATTCGAGACCACCCACATAGCTGCAAGGCTGCCAATGTTGCTATCTCGCAGCTTCTGACCGACTCGGTGAAACGACATGACTACCAACATGTCCGTAGGTCGTCGTAGAGTTCAGCAGTGTGAGGACAAGACCAAAACTATTCCAGGGTCTTGGACACAATCACGAGTCAAGAGCATCTGTGAGCAGGACACAACTGAACGGTGAACTCAGCGAAACAGTGGGACAGTACTTTGCCTAGGGAAAGAGATGATGCTTATCCAGTTGTGTAAGATCTTCAAAGTGAGAAAGGTGAATTCAAAAATAGGCGAGTCAACAAGCGGAATTGTGTGTCCATGCAATGGTTATTTTGTTCATGGGAACGCAGATATATATCCGTCAACGCAGCTTTTGGGGGAAACAGGACTGTCAAGCTACACCATCGCATGGAATGTATCCTGTAACGCAAACGGACTAATGGTGTCTGCCCAATACGTTTTAAATGCCGATAATGTGGGAACAGAAGTATATCGTGTGGACCGGCATTCCAGGTTGAGCGAAGAATTCCAGCGATATACTAACCGGCGATACTGCTAGTGGATTGTCAAGTCGATGTTGCGACGCAGCTCCGGGCGGCGTCATCTGCTTCAATAAAACGGATGTCGGTGAGTTACAACTAGGGGACAAATTTGATAAAGCAGTTGGCGTTGAAATCACCTGTCTACCGAATTAGAGGATTTAGCCGAAATCTCACATTTGGGGTACATGGTAGCATCTCTCAATCGAACGCCTGAGTTCACCCACTAATTCTTTCTCTGCGGTTTTCCGCCGACATATCCCATATGTACTGGTATTATTGGGCATTATACTTCATCCCTACACCCTGTCAAGCATTTTATAGCCGCTAGTCAGTCACAGATTGTTCCCAGTTGGGAAGCTATTTTCTTGCGCAATTTGTGCACTTCGATTGTCCAGATCTACACAGGTTTTGGCCAGTTTAGCCCGTTCGTACTGAGTTCGATACGGGCCCACTCGGTGAAGTGCAGTGACTGAAAACGAATTGTGATTGAGAGGTGCGCTACCAACATTTCACTCACTGAAGCTTCTTTTCAGAAGATCCAATTTGGAGATCAACTTCGGGAGATTACAAACAGATGATGAGTGACCACCGCGTATTATTAATGAAAGCAATAATTCATAATGACTACTGATTCCCTTCTTCTCATGGGTCTGGGACACGCGACATGACCTCATTTCAACACTGTGGACCCCCAAGGCCCTGCTGCGACCTCCAGCGCATTCGTCGTTCTATTCATTTTCCACTTCACACACCTACACTTGTTCAACAGGACTTCAGGTGCATACGGCTGTTCACCTGGTTCCCGTCGCCTTCGCCGCGGATTACGCCACTACTTCTCCTCACGTTCTGTAGAATATATGATGAAAGACATAGTGTTAGATGAGTTCATTTATTAAGCCCCACTCAATCCACACTGAAGCTCTGTGACAATGAAAACGATTAAGCCAGCTATGAGAGTAACTGAACTCACTCATAATTATCTCAGCGATGACAACGGACTAATGGGATTTGCGACACTAAGCCCTACCAGGCAAACGACCTTGTTTGTCGCTTAAATCGTACACTGGCGATGCACAATGTGTGCGGAACCGGTTCCGCCTCGCAGCGATCTAACGCTGTCAAGCTTTCTGACACTATGCCAGACTGTGTCGACAAACTCTCTTACGTGCCACTCAGGAATGACATTAGTCACAGGTTTGAGGTCCGCTAACGTTTTAGCACTGTCAGATTTGAACCGAGACCTGCGAACTCTCTCACAATCGGTCAGGAACCCTGTGAATGATGACGTCAAACGAGAGGCTTCAAGTGTCAACACCAGGTTTACAGTTGAAGCCGTGTGAATATTTGTATTTTCTATCACCAGGTGTCACGACATCTGTATGAAGTCCGGCGGAAACAGCCGATCGAGGTAGAAGTATGCTATTTGAATTCCGATTCCTCCTTGTAGATTGTCACGAAGCAACACGTAAACACTCACACGCAGTATGTGTACGTACACACATGAACGTACACACACACACATGTGACGGAACTATTTACTTCACAGCAGTAAATGGTGTGACATTTAACAGCACCAAAGTATGTCTACTTTGAGGAGCAATAAAGGCGTGCCATATTTTTACGAAATTATGAATTCTGTGAGACCGACTAAGGGTTTGTGTGTGAGACAAATAGTTTCACCGCTGGATCGTAATTATCCTGCCGATGCCGCTTTTACGAGAACGGTATTCGTTCACCATGAAACCCTCTGGACAGGCTGAGTCTCACGTGTTGGTGAGACCGAGGTTTGAGCGTCCTCCTACTGAGTGTCATACCATCAAATAGGAGACGCACGTGGACGTTAACGGATAATTCAGTTCAATACACTTCAATTCAAGAAAGTGCTTTTCATGCACTCATAAGGGTGGATATTCCACTGTTACGCATCCGCTTTCAGCGTAGTAAAAGAAATAAAGCGGTAAATACACATGTAGAGTAATAAGTAGCATAAACAGCAGTATGGTTACGATGCAAAGTTGTTGTTAACTTCCAGTACAACTGATGTCTGGTCACAGAAAAAGCGTGCCAGATATGGAATAAGGATGAGTGTAAGCCCTTGTGCGGGCAAACATGGATCTATACTTTTGGCTGGCTGAAGATTTTGATACACACTCTGACAGTGTACCATGAAGAGGGTGACTTGTCTCAGTGGGTATTCTCGAAGCAAGCCTTATGCATGAATTGTTGTGAGTGGACACAAGAACCTCAACGAAGGTTGGTTTGAGAATTCCACTGAACCGAGTTAATTGTGTCAGGACTTTGTAGTGCTTCCTTAGGAAACCAGGAAAAATCACAGTGAAGCGATAAGTCCAAAGGGGCAAGACACATACGGTGATAAATCTCAGAATTAAGTGGTGTGGGACAGAGGAGGATCACAAGCGAAGGGTGTAGAACGAAAGCCTCCTCACCTTTGTAAAAGCATCATTAACATGGAGTGACCAGGAAAGATCACGACTGAGTGTTAGACCTAGGTACTTCACTGGCACTAGAGTGCAAATCCTCGCCATTTATGGGAAGTTCGAGGTATTTCATAAGAAGTTGCTGATAACCATGGCCTTAATGTATGGAGAAAATGACGTCATTGCATTTTAATACGTTCAGCGATAAAAAGTGAGCTCTGGACCATATTACAAGGCTGTCCAGATAGGTTTGCAATTTAGTTGATGAGGCTGCAGTCAGTTGTTGCATGCACAAGACTAGGTGTTCTGCATATTTCAGCAAAGCCCGCATCGGCAGGAGCAGGTAAAAAGGCGATATAGGTGAAAAAGAGGTATGGAGATAGTATGGCCCCTTGAAGAACTCCAGTGTCTGTGGTGAGCGGCGAGGAAGTTTTACCCCAAGTCGAGTAAACTGGGCACTTCCAGTGAAGTAGTCTCTCAAAAGGTGGACAGTAGAGAGTTGAATTCCGGCATCGTGCAGGTCTCTCAAAAGAAGCTCACGGTTTAAAATGCTGAAAGTATTACTGTAATCGAGATAACACATGCGTATGGATTTGACCTTGTTGTCTAGTGACGACAGCACTGAATGTACAAGATAGGCTATTGCGTGTTGATTAGACCTCAAACTGTAGCGGATCATCTGAGGGAGTCTGATAGAGTAACTTTTCAAGCATAATCTTCTCGAATCTCTTCAAGTTTACCGAGGTGCAGGCAATTGGTTGGTGTTTATCTGAACCTTTCTTAGGCACCGGTGTAATTCTGGTACTTATCCAGCAATCAACAATATTACACTCTTCTATGCACAAAGTGTATATGTCAGCAAGAGGCTGGGCAAACGAATCTGCACACACTTTGAGGACAACAG